GGAACTGCTCTGCTTGACCCTCAGACATTGAATTCAGCAGGAGGGTTGAGTATATATATAAGGATATATAAGGGAGAGATTATTGTTGTTCCAGTGAGAGAAAAGTGTATATTTTAAAGAGAAAAGACGAGTTGAAAACATTTTTGGTTTTAATGTGGATTTATACTTTATTTGCTATATTTTTGCTACATGTATTTCGAGTCTTTTGACTTTCATCAGGCAAAGAGTGGTTATTTCCATATATTATTTAACGGGATTCATTTTTCGTTATGTTTTCCCATGTTTTAACCATTGTCTTTTTCAATATATATAAATATATATATATATATATATATATATATATATATATATATATATATATATATATATATATATAATCAATTTTAACAATATTTTCATTTAGATGATCAGTTGAATACATGATTGTTTTCATTGCATGATAGAATTAAGAAGCTTTGTGCAGAGGACAAAAGTTCAGATCAGCCATTCCTGGGGATTATATTTTATCTAATTTCATATTGGTACAAATTTACAAACGGCATCAAAATATGGCTGTAGTGGCAGTAATATTTGAATTTGCATTGGACTTATAGAAAAAATATAGCAGCTTCTATCGATTTATCTTTGAGGCAAAAATAATTGAAAACATAAACAGATTTTGGTGTTTTATTTGTCAACTTTAAAATATGCAAAAATTCAATTTCTGTGATGTCACCAGAAAATTCCCAAATGTAGACAAGGGTAACATATTTATCATCATCGTTTTTCTGCATAAATATTTCAAAGTTTAATGCACAAAAGTATACATACATATTATATACATTGCTGAACAATTTTTCTCTCCAGAATCTATCTCATAAATCTATAAATCTACCACATGCACATGCACAGAATATGGTGCCACATATGGTCTAGCGATTCTTTATATGTAGAGATCCTTGAAAAAACAATAAAAAAATCAGCAATATCATTGGTCCTGACCTAGCATCTTGGCTTCAGTCACTTTTCCACTGCCATAAAGTTGCCTCCCTTTGCCTTTTCTATAAATACTTTCATGATAATTGTTTGGATGAGCTCTTCGCTATGGTAGCTAGACATTATGAATATAAATGCAGTACTATACTCGAATTGATTACATTCACTTATGTGCTAATACCCTTGGGAAAGGTATTAATCCTCTTCTTCTCCCTCCAGCCATGGGTAAATAGCAGGACAGACTGGGTTCTATAGCCTTGAATGGCAACTGGTCTAGGAGAAGGACAACTCTGAATTCAAAACCTATGTTGGATCTGAAGAGACATTCACAGCCACCACCTGGGGGTGTAGGATGTTTCAGAGGATGGAGATCTCTGGCTTTTGGTGGTGAGAGTGTGTGGAGGCATGGTGGAGTAATAGATAGTGGCTTTGATTGAGGAATTGGAGAGCCAAGTTTGAATTCCAGTCAAATCCATTGCATTCACTTACTTGGGAAAGGTATGAACCCTCTTCTTCTCCACCCGCCCCCAGCTATGGGTAAATAGCAGGACAGACTGGGTTCTATAGCCTTGGATGGCAGCTGGTCTACCACAGAAAGAAATGGCAACCTACTGTGGGAAAAAATCTTCCTCGCCAGTAATGTATCGAAAGTTACATGATCTCCTACGTGTGTATCACACATGGCACATAACTGACTGACTATACCGATGACTAGGTCTCATCATTATACAGTTGAGTTGGCTAGATGTAGCCATAATTTCTATGGTAACAGTTTCTTTTCTCACACTTCTTGCTTGTGGAACTGCCTTCCAGCTCCATGCTTTTCAGCCGACTTTAATCTTCAAAAATTTAAATACAATGTAAATGGCTATCTACTGTCCTCCTGAATACCTCACTTTTGTACTCTGTCCTTAGTAATGTTTCTGTTATCTAATTCTTCCCCATAAACACCTTGTGCCTTAGTGGCTTTACTGCCTTGCTTGTGTTGAACAGGATTAAAATATATATACATATATATATATATATATATATATATATATATATATGATATTGTAAATTGGGATAAACATTGTGGATAAAGTTTCCAAATCTTTGTGCAGTTCAGACAGATATTGTTCATCATAAACAATCATAATACAACTTCTTTATTTAAATGAAACAACTCATATTAAATAAAATAACTTTTGCCATAGTAGGTTAAAGTATATACAAAAGATGTATCAATAGTTGATTTTTCCAGTGATGCTGATCTCGCTGTAGCTGTTTTACACGTGTCCTCACTTTGGATTAATTTGAGTTCCAGCATTCCAAATGAATATAATGTCAGTATGTATTCAACAAAATCTTGTGTACTACACTGACAACACCCAAATTATGATAATGAGTGTGCTACTTGTAAGTGCTTTGGATAAAAATAAAAAAGGCATGAACATTGGACAGTTTATACACAATTTTGATTAGGATGTCCAAACTCTTAATCAAAAAAGAGTACAGACGGAAAGAGCAAGTAACTTATCTAAAAAATATAAATGGAAAGGTTAGTAAAGTGTTAGACATTGTTTATATCTACAAATGATAGGAAATTGTAGAGAGCCATGACTATCCACGTCCTGAAGGGACATGACACATAGAAAAAATGCCTTTTCTATAAATTTCAGCTTGTTTTGCCAATGTATTTTTGTGGGGTATTGTTTAAATTTTTGATAAATTCTTACTGCTGATGTGAAATTAGTTTGGAATTGATTAAATTATGGTTTGTTTTTTTTTATTTAAGAGCTTCAATTATCTACATGAAGATGAAAAATTGAAAACACTTTAAAAATCCTGTATTATCCTAGTTAATTCATGCATAATGCTAAAAAGATAAGCCTAGAAAATGAAGATGAAAATATAAACAACACAAAACCTAGACACCTTCTATTGTCTTTCAACTTCATGATAAGTGAACTTGAAAGAAATTTAGCTAATCTTACTATGAAAATTATGAAATGCGTCAAAAACACTTAAAATTTTAATTATGTAGATTTTGGTTTGGTCAGATGAAATTATTCTTTCGGCACAGGATTATTGGTGAAACAGGTCAGGTGAAAAATTCTTTTTCCTAAATTGTTTCAAGAATTTCCGTTCCATCAGATTTCACATATACAGCTAGATTCAAAATTATTCATACCTCAGCAATTCTTTAAAAATATTTTCATTAAAAGAATGCTTTTGTTCCAACCCAAATTAACATATAAAGAAGAATGAAGTCAAAAACATGTAAGAAATATGGAAAAAAAACTACTAAAATCTGAGCAAGGTGATAAAGCTGCTAACATATTATTGAGAGTGAAAGAGTCTGAGAGAAACATTATTAAGGAGTGAGGACAATCAAAGAAGAGGAATCAAGATGACAGAAGATGACTGTTGATATTTCCTGGAAAGTGAGAAACCAGAAGAGAATTCCACATGTGAAATATGCAAGAGAAGAAACTGTTACCATAGAGCTTTTGGTTACGTCTCACTATTTCATCTGTAAAATGATGAGACTAAGGTGATTTTTTTTTTATACAGAATTCTTAAACTTTTACCTGGATACAAGTCCCACAGGATGAAAAAAAAATCCCCAAAGAATGATGCTGTCACCATCATACTTGACTGTTTTAATAGTTTTGTTTGGGTTAAAAGAAACACAGTTTTTTCCAACATCACTGTATCCAAGTAATTTAATTTTCATCTCATCTGACTAAAGAAATATTGACTAAAAGCTTGAATTTTTTATCAGGGTGTTACCTGGTTTTGTGCATTAAAGTCCTCTCTGTTCATCTTTCATGGAGGCTATTTTAAATACACATATGGTAACATGGGGAAACAAATGAAACAACATGTACCGCTGGTGAAGTGAAAAGAAATGAAGAGAAAAATTCTTAATATAAAAATCTTTGTATTGAGAATACAGAGGATATAAGTGACTTGGAAGAAAGGTAAAGTTGATAGGACATGGAGTTATGTGTATGTTGGCTCAGTTGATGTATGTGCTGGGTCAGTTGACTGAGGTCATGGTGATAATGTTGAGAGAGTTCTGGTAGTGGATTAGTTGAAGCTTGCCCATTCACCACAGATCTGTTTCAGTCAAACAGCAGCCTTCTTAAAAACAAATGTAGTGGTTCCTAAACTCATCTTTTGACAATGTGTTTTCTTTGGTAGCAGCATTCATGAATGGCTGATTTTATGTTATATTTTATGTTTTTTGAGGGAATTTGATTTTTTTTTTTTTTGTGGATCAGATGTGATTTTTAGAGCTCCTGTGCTGAGGTTGACATTTTTATTTTTGGTTTTTCTTTCTTCGCATTCACATCCGGCTGACATGTAGAGTGAATCAGAAAGAGATCTATTTTGTTAAGCGCAGGTATAACACTATCCTTATGCAAAATTCATGGGAATGTCTGTTGAGATATGTAAAGAGCACAGTCATTCAAATTGGCTAGAATATTATTGATGTTGATCCTTGGACTATTCTTGCTACCTTGAGGGACGTTTCCTTTCATGTGAGTTTGTATCCTGTTTTCCATCCTCATCTGCAAAGATTTATCAGTGTGGACATGACTGAATTTCTTGATAATACTTTGGACTTTTGGAATTTCAACTTGAAATTTTGACTTAAATTTTTTTGAATATAGCTGTGTTGTCACCCTTTTCTTTATTGTGGGTAGTGATAATCTTTAACCCAATATTTTGACAAAGTTCATTTATCTTTATTATAGGGACAGAAAAAAGTGAAAAAGCTACCATCAGCTACTGAAGTGCACAATATCACTTTATCATATGAATATTGTTTACACTCATTTTAAAGGAAGAACTCCCTAATGCAAGGAAGAAAATTTAGATCCCTTTTAGCTATTTTTGTTTTGTTAAGTATAGGTAAGAATTACATTGAACATGCCTTTTGTGATTAAATTAATTTTGGGGTAACAGTGAATGAGAAGACAAAATGTAGTTTGTGCTTATCTGTAGCAACCAATGGTGTGACTGCTAGTAGCTGAATTATGGCCATATCATGTTGAATCACTAGTTCCTATACAATCACCGAAGTTAAGCAACGTCGAGTTTGGTCAGTACCTAGATGGGTGACTACTTGGGAATACCAAGTGCCGTAAGCTTGGATGTGCAGGTGGTGTAATCAATAACTGCTTGGAATTGTTAATCATATAGCCAAGTTATAATTCCAGTTGCTTTTGTTATATTCATATGTCCCAGAAAGGGATATATTTGTTTGAAGTAGCGTATTTTTTACTTTTTTTATCTATATATATATATATATATATATATATATATATATATATATATATATATTAGGGGAAAGCAGTATAATAAAGTGAAAAAAAAAATTTCTGTGACAAATTTTATTCTTTAGGACTTCATTGGACTAAGTTTAAGTTTAACACATTCAAAAGTGATGCTGGGAATTTCTAAATAATATTTTTTTAATATGTTTTTTGGGTATACAATCTACCCACCAAATTTATCACAACTACAAATGAAAAGAATTTATCTTAACTCAATATGAAATTTGTCATGGCTATGTCAAAAACAATAAAGGACTTAATTAATGAAAAAGAAAATAATAAGCTAAAATTTGAAGGAGGAATTTACACTATTACCTGGAATAATTGCCACACAGAATACATCGGAGAAACCTCAAGAAATTTAAATAAAAGATTATATGAACACAAAAGAGATCTTCTACAAAAAAAAAACACATTAAATGCATTAGTTACTCACTGTGATGAGACTGACCACAATTTTGACTCTAATTAAAAGAGAAAACAATTTACTAAGATGAAAATATTTAAAAAATGTTTTAATCACTAGATCATCCACAGGAAATTTTCATGCAATGTGGAATAAAAACAAAAACATAAACAAAATCAATAAGAATGTAAATGAAATTGGGTAGTTATATAGCAAAAAAAAATATATATAAAAAAAAATTAATTTAAAATTCCTGGCATCTCTTGTTTGCGCAAATTTGTAGCCGCATCAAAAAGTGCACTTTCTCCTAAAATTTTTCTTGATATATAACAGATTTATACATCATTATCCCGTGTCAATATCTATATATATGATAAAATTTTCAGTTATCTTAAATGCATGAGGGTCAGTAGGTCAGTTTTTAGAACCTAACACATAGGATTTGATTATAGAAGTGAAGACTTGTGCAGAGCCAATTACACTTTTTTAATGAACTGAATACAGAAGAATTATGTACACTGTGTGGCACAAGCTCTCCAAACAACCCTCCTCAGGTTCTGAAGTCAGTTATACTTTTCCTACATTGTTTACTCACCAAGGCTAAAGAACCCAGTCTACCTTACTCTTTAACCTATAGCGCGGGAGAGATGAAGAGATGGATACTTAACTTCCCCAATAGTATTTGCATATGTGTGAATATAAAAAACTCAAATGGAATTTGATTTCTGCTCTTTGATTTCTCATTATGTGCCACTATCCATTAAACCACCTGGTCATCTGCATACACACACACATATATATATATATATATATATATATATATATATATATATATATATATACATACATACATACATATATATATATATATATATATATATATATATATATATATATATATATATATGTATATATATATATATATATATATATATATATATATATATATATATATATATATATATATATATATATATATATATATGTATATGTATGTATATCATGTGCAACACCAAAATTGTCCAAGTGTTAGATCAAGCTTTGAACTTTTGTAACTTAGAAGTCATAAAAATATTTTTCTGGAATTCTCTGAGGTTTTTATAACACTACTGGACTCTACTTTGAACGATAAGACTGTATCTATCTCTAAGTTGAAATGATGATCCATCTTCTTTTTGTGACCTCCTGATCCAGTTTTCTCTTGACTCTTCTCTCTTTTTTAAACTTATTCACTGTTTTCTTGATGGTACTTGAATGGACTTTGAAGATGGGAGCGAAAGTATAGATGTTGGTATCATTACTGAAGGCCTGAATGATCCTTTTCCTCTCACCATTGCTCAGTTTGGAAGACATAGGGGGACTGACACAAAATGATTTTAACATGTTTCTTTTTCATGCTAAATAAATAAATTTTTTTTTCAGTGATTCTTACAACAAATAGTGTCAAGATAGCTAAATGTCTTATCTGTAAAACCTGTTAGTTTAGCGGTTGTTTACATATTAAACATTTTTCTAGCTAACTTTAATCTGCAAAAATTTGAATGCAATGTCAATCGCTATCTACTGTCCTCTTGATTACTTTTTTTCTTCCTGATCATTATTAATGATTCTGTTCTTAATTCTTCCACACCCGTTAACCCCTTGTGTCTTAATAGCTTTTCTACCTTGCATGGGGTGAAACTGATTAAAAAAAACAAAATTTCCAATTAGCTTCATGTTGGAATCATCTTCCCAGTCATAAGAAGACTTATTTGACAAATTGAGTAAAGTGTGATTTGAAACTGGGTAGTCAAAATACTGATGCTTATACCATCTTGGCCACACACCTATCTATCTATCTATCTATCTATCTATCTATATATATATATATATATATGTTGCCTGTGCTTGATTCAAAAATCGTACAACTCATACAGCAATCGCTATCACTTGACTTAAAATATTTTTGCCCTTCCTTGCCTTTAAAGGAGTGCCCTTCGCCGTGCTGATGTTGCTACATGCCTTACTTCTTGCCTATCTCACACTGCAAATTTTGTCTAAGCTCTATACTAAACATTAAATCTGTTACAAAAAAAGAACTAAACAAAATGAACACAAAGCAATCAGCTTTAAAAAAGGACTCATAACTGGAAAAACCGAATGAAAAAAGAATGTTAACAACAAATACTTTTTCACACCCTACCCAGTTCTGTGGAATCAGAATCAACATTGAGTTTAAGCAAGAATATGAGCCAATTGGAGTAAAGTGCCATGCAGATTTAAACTTTTCCCACTTGTGACAAATGCAGCTATCAATTTTTTTTGCATGCTAGCATGCTAGTTAACATGTCAGTCAGCTGTTGGCTCTCATGCTGGCCAAAAGAATCTTCCTGCCTATTCGTGGCAGCCAGCTATAGGCTCTCACTCTGGCCAGTAGAAAATGGCCACAAACTACATGAAAACTGCCATAGAAGCATGAAAAAATCGATTATTTCCACTATCGAGGGGAGTTGGGAAATGCAATGTTGGTCTTAGCCTTCCCACTAACTTGGAGCATGTGCATGTAAATTTTGGTGCAAATCCATCGAAAATTGCAGCCATGCATTCATTACACAAACCGACACACACATCCTGCCTTTTATAGATAGAGATATTTACATTTCTCTCATCCTTTAACAGAAATACATGGAAGGTTATTCATGAGTATGAACGGATTTTGTTAAAAATTAGCAGACATGTCTGTAATTTATTCAGTCAGACATATCTGAAAGAGAATTTGCTGCCTAAATACACAAATTTATATATATATATATATATATATATAAACATGCATATATGTATATATATATAAACATATATATATATATATATATATATATATATATAAACATGCATATATATATATATATATATATATATATATATATATATATATATATATAGCTTGTTAAATGGTGTTAAGTTTTTTGTTAAATTTTGTATTTAATTTTAATAATTTTTTATGCTCCTTTTAAAATACTGATTCATGTCATTTTTTTTTTCACAAATGATGATTCGCTTCAGCAAATACTTCTTCTGGTGACAGCATGTTGACATTTAGCATTCAAAGGCAACAAAAATATATATTTGGACTGCTTTTCCTGGTTACAATTTCTTTTTCTTGGACTTTACTTGTAGTAGTAGTTGGAGCGGAAATAGATTTTCTTTATTGTTAACAGTAGCATAAGTAAATGCAATTCAGTTTGTTCAAATATGTTTAACAAAAAGATAAAATATATGCATTAATATTCTCCTTCTTATTTCTAGGCACTTACAAAATCTACTTGGAGGTTTTCTGGAAATGATATTTGGAATTTTGTGCAATGTTTTTTTTTTTTCTTTTTTATGTTCTCCAGCTACATCATAGATTTATTTATTTATTTATAATGATAATCATCAACATCATCACCATAAAGAGCAATAATAATATTTATATAATTTTAAAAGAAAAATAATACTACCTCTGTCCCATAATAGTTGTTACATTTACTGTATGAAATATATATGCAGATGTAGCAACTTGTGGGGTAAGTCTAACTGGATTTTATGTGGAAAAATAAAATCGGAATGTCATGTCCACCAAAAAATTATAAACAACGTGAGTAAATGAGCTTCACAGAAAAAAGAAGACCAAGCTAAATATGACAATAAGATTTATACAGCAGATACATGTATTTATATATCAGAATTCAACTGTCTTTGTTGTGGCCATGAAGGGACCAACAGTCAAGTGTTCAAAGTCATTTGTTGCAAGTGAGTCTGCAAAGTTCCAAGTTATTTTGTTGCGAGTCTGCAAAGTTCCAAGTTATTTTGTTGCGAGTCTGCAAAGTTCCAAGTTATTTTGTTGCGAGTCTGCAAAGTTCCAAGTTATTTTGTTGCGAGTCTGCAAAGTTCCAAGTTATTTTGTTGCGAGTCTGCAAAGTTTGGAATGATATGAATGCCGATATGTGTGTGAGCTTCCAGATTGAATGCTAAGCAGTACAGCATGCTGTTTCCAAATTTCTTGCAGAGTGAATTGCAACAGCATGCTCTTTTTGTCAAAGATAGTGCCCAACTGTGCTGTCAGTAAAATAAAATATAAACACACATGTGCAAAATTAAAAATATAAAATGACGACAATTTACCCATCGCACCTTGTATATGCAAATGTAACAACTATTATGAGACCAAAGTACTAATCAATAAATAACAATGTGTCTGTCCCATAATATTTCTTACATTTAGTATATTAACTGTGTATGAAAATGTAACAACTAATATGGAACAGAAGTACTAATTAATAAGTAACAATATGTCTGCCACATATTTCTTACATTTAGTATATTAACTGTATATAAAAATGTAATAACTCTTATGGAACAGAAGTACTAATCAATAAATAACAATA